AGACCTTGACCGCCTTCAAACACAGGTAAATTCAAAATGCCTGGAAGAAGCCAATGATGTCCTCCCCAAAAAAAGTTTACAAAATGTCTCTGGAGCAGCTGCAAAAATCCTGCTGGAGGGTCCAGAACAGTCAATCGGTGCCACAACATTGATGCCGCCAAGTTGTTTACCACTAGAACCCTGCCTCTGTACGATAGTTGTTGTTGAATCCAACTCCATCTTTTTAATCTTCCAAGTACTTTTTCAACTACTCCATCCCAATTCTTTGTCATATATTGTTGAGTACCAAAAAAGATTCCAAGAATTTTCACTCCCTCTGTGTTCCAATGGCACTGCTGTGGGAGATGAGGTGGATGAGGTGGACCAAACAGTAGTGCTTCTGTTTTGTTCCAATTCACCCGTGCTGAAGATGCTTTTTGATATAAGTCCAAACACTTGCACAGTTCAAAAATATCTTCTTGGGATCTTATTATCACCGTAACATCGTCAGCATAAGCACTAAGTTTGACTGTAGTAGCTTCCGATATATTGGGATTGAGGACTGAAATACCTTGTAGTTTTTCCCTTAGAACTCTTAATAAAGGTTCTATAGATATTGCATATAAAAGTCCAGAGAGGCTGCATCCTTGTCTTATACCTCTACGAACAGGAAAAGTTCTTGTTAAGGTTCCATTTATCTTCAGCATACTACAAACATCTGTATAAAGTATCTGAATCCATGAAATGAACTGTTCTCCAAATCCAAAAGCTGACAAAGTATTGAAAAGATATCCATAATCGACTCTGTCAAATGCCTTTTCCTGGTCAAGAGACAAAAGGCCTACATCAAGTTTATATATCGCAATAAGATGTAGTAGGTCACACACCAGAAAAATGTTATCAAAGTTGGAACGTCTTGGAATGCAATATGATTGATTTTCATCAATTATAGAAGCCATAACCCTCTTCAAACGATTTGTTAATGCTTTTGAAAGGATCTTATAATCTATTCCAAGTAAGGAGATAGGACGCCAGTTTTTCAAGAATCCTACATCTCCTTTCTTCGGCAATAACGCTATTATGGCTCTTCTGCAACTGAGGGGAAGAATTTTTTATTTTTCACATTCAAGAAACACAGCATGTAAATCTGGTCCAATCAATGACCAAAAAGTTTGATAAAAATCAGAGGTCAGTCCATCTAACCCCGGAGATCGTCCAGAAGATTGTTGTTTAGCCACTGTGCTCAATTCTTCAAATGAAAGTGCTTTTTCCAGTTGTATCTTCTCACCTGCACTCAATTTTGGAACTCCACTGAGAAAAAAATCTATTGCCTCAGAATCACAAGGTTGAGCACTATAGAGTTCTTCATAAAAGGACAAAACTTGTGAAACAATTTCTCTCTTTTCTGTTGTCTCTCTTCCATCAGATAGTTTAAGATGAGTAATCAGCTTCTTTTCTCGAACTTTTCTTTCCAATGCAAAAAAGAAAGTTGTTGAAGAATCCATATTATTAAGAGGAGTAAATCTTGCTTGTACTTTTGTTCCTTGATCTCTTTCTTCATGCAAATTTTTTTAAAAGAAAGTTATATTGTTCAAGCAAATCTCCACTAGTTCCATCTCTCCCACTTATGGAGCTATTCAATCTCATTATTTCTTTTTCCAGCCGTTCAATTTTCTTCTGGATTTCTTTTGCATTGTTTTTTACATACTGTTGACAAAACGACTGAATCTGAATTTTCCCAATGTCCCACCATTGACTTAGCGACTTAAACTCTGTCTTTCTCTCTCTCCAAGCTCTCCAAAAGAAAGGAAATAAATGTACAAATGTACGATCTTGCAGCAAGTTGTTATTAAAATGCCAATACGATTTGTAAATAGTACTTGATGTTGTAACCATTCCAGAAACATAATAATGATCAGAAATGGGTGTAGGATTAATTCTACTATCACAAAATCGTTCTCTTCTACCCTTCTGAACATATATTGTGTCTAATCTTCATTTTCAACCATGTATATTGCCTACTTTTTGGAAAGGATTCTCTCCACACATCTACAAGCGAATGGAAAAGTATTACCTTCCTGAGAGCTTCTGCTGAATTAAGATGAGGTTCATCATGATTTCTATCGACTGTATGATCAAGAGTGCAATTAAAATCTCCAGCCACAATAATACAATTTTCACGAGAAATATTATTCATAGCTTCCTGTAACTTCTTAAAAAATAAAACTCGTTCATATCCAATGTTGGGAGCATATACATTGATAAGGGAAAAGGACACATTTAGTAAAATAATATCTACCTAATATCGATTTAATGATCCAATTTGTAAGGATGTCATAAAATATTACTGTAATACAGCGATCAAAACAAAACCTGTCCCTCTACCGAATCAATTAAACTGGACTCTTTTCCTGATGGATCATCTTCTTTACTTTAGTGATTATTTTTTTGAGACGGTATCGTTTTTGTCTGCTAAACTCCTCAACTGTAGCATTTATCATAACATCCCTACAGGATGCTAAAAAATTTCCTCAAATCTGGAAAAAACAAATCAATTTGTGGATTCCGCACCCCTTTAGTTTCATCAAGAAAGGTGCTAATCTGTCTCGCCGAGTAGGATTTCGCTTCACATCCACTCAATTCTGATGTCCCTATTAGAGAATCATTGTCTCCAACTTCAAAGAAACTCTGGATACTTTCACACTCATTGTCTGACTCACTGTCAGATCTCAGACACCAGAGCTAACTGTGAACTGACTACAACCTTCATTTACTTCGTCATCTGATTTGTTCTCACTTTTATCATTTGTCTCTACACACTCCATCAAGGTAAGTTCATCCTCTCTACTTTTAGATTGGAAATGTGTTTCTTGTACTTCTGTTCTTTCATTTTGCGTTTCAACAGCACTGGCACTCTGACCTTTAATGCCTTCTGCTGTCTGATCAATGTTGAGTTCTTTGTTTCACTACTACTCTTATTTTCTGCTCCTATATTATTTTCAGTCTCTTCAGCAATTACTTCACGAACGACCGTATTGTTTTCTTGAACAGTGTTTTCCTGAATAGTTTGCGAGCCCGTTAAATCAGCAATATCATTTTGTTTTGGACATGTCTGTCTAACATGTCCATACTCACTGCACAAAAAGCACCGCATTTGACCGGAGCTGACAAAGATCGTGTAATCTTTCCCCTCCACTGCTACTTTCAGCACCAGATTAAGAGGGTCGTGTTGTGAGTTCGGTATCATGTAGGTAAAACGTCGGAAAGACATGACGTGTTTGAAGTTCGGATTTTTAAGTCCTAGTGGAATCATCTTAATCGGAGCGGTCAATTTTCCATATCGTTCAAGAATTTCTTTCAGGATTCCTTCTTTTATAAACGGGGGTACATTTGAAAGTACAACTTTCTTAGAAGGATTCGACAA